TTTTTTTTTTTTTTCCTTTGTTTCTTGGGAAAAAAGAAAGGTAAAGAATATTAAAAGGTATTCAATTGGGAAAACCCAAATTAGAAAACGAATTTTGTGCCTTTGGTAGAAAATAGTTAAATTTATTCTTTCGAATCTTGTATTAGAAAACAATAGTGTTTTTCTTTGAATTGTCTTTGGTAACTATTTTCTTGGGATTAAATTAGAGGTTTGATGATAAATTTTACTAGTATTCGACCTGTGCATTTGCACAGATATATAAATAAAGTATTTTGAGTTATTTGTATTCATATAATGATTAATGATTTTTGCCAAATTTACAATTAAATGAGCTGAAATATTTGTTTTTTTAAATTGTGTTTATCATATTGGATGTAATGTATATTTTGATATGTATCTTTTTTTTGTGAAATTATTTATTATTTATTTAGGAATTTCAAATACGTTTTTTATTTTCCAAAAGAAGTTAATTTAAATGTAACCACAATAATAACATTCCATTGTAGCCAGTTCGGATTCAGACAGTAGGCCTCCCAACTCGCTACAAGGCAAGAACCAACCACTATTAGTCAACAATCACATTAAATAGTCAATATATTATATGATCAGTTGTAAGTAAATGAAAAATTTAAAATGATATTTGTAATTTTGAAGTGATTAGTGTGTTGATTATTTAATAATTAAATGAGAGGTTAAATATATAAAAAGTAACGGTTTTTGGAGGGATAAAATTATATTGCCACATAGGTATAATTTAATAGGTTTTATTAAATGCTCATTAGCCAGCAATTATATTTATATAGATAAGATTTGTTTGTTTATTACAAGATTGATTGATGCTAAATTAAAGAATTTGACTTTATTTATAGGCTTCACCAATTAAGTTGGCTAATTAGCTTGTTGGTAATGAACTTATTTGATTAATTTTTTGAACTCATAATATTAACTAGTACAGAGCTCGTGCGATGCACGGAGTGCACAATTTTAAGGTCATATATCCAGCCTTATAATTATATAAATGAATAAAAAAAATGTACGGGATATATATAGTACGTGACCTGTGCGAGACACGGGATATATTCATTTGAGGAGTATTATAATTTAATATGCATTATTCAATAAAAGTTGTACAATACACAGAAAAATTGTACAATAAAATAGTATTGAAAAAAAAAAAACAATCATGGATTATTAAAGACCTCCTTGTACACAACATTATGAGTTTGATTATCGGGTAACTCCTCATTCTCACAAACTAATATCTTCAACCCCCTTCTATTAGTCACACGCGAAACAACAACATATAATTGACAATGACTAAAGACAGTCTTCTTTAGAAAAAGACGAACGTGAGATAAAGACTGTCTCTGACTCTTGTTTATGGTCATGGCATACGAAACCATAAGTGGGAACTGCCGCCGCTGAAACTTAAATGGAACCCTATGATCAGAAGGAGTAATATTCATTATAGGAATCAACACTGTGTCGCCAGCATGATCACCAGTCAATATCTTGCATTCAAGACAAAAAACAATAGGCTTGGATCATCCATATTTCACATTTTTTAATAAGTGGTGTTTATTTAAGCCAAAAAATTAACATGATAATTAATATATAATTCCGCTAACACGTCATACTAATATTTATTTGATTTTAGAATACATATTTATGCATTGATATAAGAAAAAATAAAAATTTTATTAATTATTGTTCACCATATAATACTCAATTATTATTTTATTATAAAATTTACAGCCATATAATGTAATTATTATTATTTATAAAAGTTATAGAAGTAGTCTTCTTTATGTAATGAAATACAAAATAAAATTTTGAGTATAAATGTTTACAAAATACACACACATGTTTTTTTAGAATTCAATTTTCTCATAATAATTTTTTTTTTCATCCTAAAGCTTTATAGTTTATTTAACAAACTATGCAATAGAAAAATATTTTACAATAGATTCATTTTTGAAACATAATAAAAAAAAGATAAAAACACTATCATAGTTGACAATAATAT